TCCAGAAATCTCTCACTATTCTCTCTAATTGAATCAGTATGTCGGTTACTTTGTGGTGAGAGAGAGAGACCTACATTCATCAATACCTTACTGAAAGACGAGACAGACAGACAGCAGACAGACAGACAGACAGACAAACGACACACATTCTACCTGAAACTTTCCAGACAAGTGACCTACCTTAATTAACCTGTCTACCGCCCTTAACACCGGTTGACACGATGAGTTACAGCACTTGGCCAGGTATAAGAAGACTAATTAATGTACGGAAACAAAACCACCTTTGACTACACCCATCATATCAGGAAAATTATCGTATGGCCTCAAGGTTTTAAGTCATCGTACTCATGGGGTTAAGTCATCGTACTCAAGGGTTAAGTCATCGTACTCATGGGGTTAAGTCATCGTACTCAAGGGTTAAGTCATCGTACTCATGGGGTTAAGTCATCAGTACTCAAGGGTTTAAGTCATCGTACTCAGGGGTTAAGTCATCGTACTCAGGGTTAAGTCATCGTACTCATAAGGTTAAGATCATCGTACTCAAGGGGTTAAGTCATCGTACTCAAGGGGTTAAGTCATCGTACTCAAAGGTGCTAAATCATCGTACTCAAGGGTTAAGTTATCGTATTCAAAGGGAGTATTTTGTCGTATTCAAAGGGTTAAATTATAGTATTCAAAGGGTTAAGTTGTCGTATTCAAAGGGTTAGATGTAGTATTCAAGGGTTAAGTTGTCGTATTCAAAGGGTTAGATGTAGTATTCAAGGTTAATTGTCGTATTCAAGGGTTAAGTTGTCGTATTCAAGGGTTAAGTTGTCGTATTCAAAGGTTAAGTTATAGTATTCAAAGGGTTAAGTTGTCGTATTCAAGGGTTAAGTTGTAGTATTCAAAGGGTTAAGTTGTCATTAAGGGTTAGTTGTCGTATTCAAGGGTTAAGTTGTCGTATTCAAAGGGTTAAGTTATAGTATTCAAAGGGTTAGTTGTAGTATTCAAAGGGTTAAGTTGTCGTATTCAAGGGTTAAGTTGTCGTATTCAAAGTTAAGTTGTCGTATTCAAGGTTAAGTTATAGTATTCAAAGGGTTAAGTTGTCGTATTCAAGGGTTAAGTTGTCGTATTCAAAGGTTAAGTTGTCGTATTCAAGGGTTAAGTTGTCGTATTCAAGGGTTAAGTTGTAGTATTCAAAGGGGTTAAGTTGTCGTATTCAAAGGGTTAAGATGTAGTATTCAAGGTTAAGTTGTCGTATTCAAGGGTTAGGTTATAGTATTCAAAGGGTTAAGTTGTCGTATTTAAGGTTAAAATAAATGTACAGAAATGCTTAGATCTCCATACTCAACGGGTTAAGTCACCGTACTCAAGAATTTAAGTAACTATACTGAAAGGGTGTCATCGTACTCAAGGGGTTTCGGTCATCGTACTCAAGAGGTTAAGTTATTGTACTCAAAGGGCTTAATTATCGTATCCTGAACTCGTCCTTAAGTCAAACAGTTCAAGTTATATATTTGTGCGTTACGGAGACGAAGATTATCTAATAATAACAGTAATAATAATAATAATAATAATAATAATAATAATAATAATAATAATAATAATAATAATAAAAATAATAATAATAATAATAATAATCTCAATACAATTCTAACACTTTTTTCCGGACGATAATCTTTGTGCAATAACTTGAGAGAACCGGAGAGATCTCTTTAACTCTTCTCACATCTCAAGCTGGATGAAGAGAAAAGGATTTGTACGAAACTTTGAGACCACAAGGCCTCGTTCGAATCCCAGTACACTTTTGGGGAAACAAGTTTTACGACTCAGTGATTGGAGGCAAATTGTGATTCCTTTCTCAATTCCTGCCTGGGGATTTGCTCGAAATGTTTTGAAGTTAAGGGAGGAATTATTTTATTTACGAAAACAAGTTTATTTATAATCCTGATGCTTAGAATTACTAGAATGAGTCTTCTATTACCGGAACAGGTCTCGAACTGCTACAACGAGTCACCGAACTGCTACAACGAGTCTCCGAACTGCTACACAGGTCTCCGAACTGCTACAAGAGTCTCGAACTGCTACAACGAGTCTCGAACTGCTACAACAGAGTCTCCGAACTGCTACAACCTTCCAGACTGCTACAACGAGTCTCGAACTGCTACAGGTCGCAGACTGCTACAACAGGTCTCGAACTGCTACAGAGTCACCGAACTGCTACAACGAGTCTCCGAACTGCTAGCAGGTCTCGAACTGCTACAACGAGTCTCCAGACTACTACAACGGAGTCTCGAACTGCTACAACAGAGTCACCAGACTGCTACAACAGAGTCTCGAACTGCTACAACAGAGTCACCGAACTGCTACAACGAGTCACCAAACTGCTACAACGAGTCTCGAACTGCTACAACAGGTCTCCAAACTGCTACAACGAGTCACCGAACTGCTACAACCAGGTCACCAAACTGCTACAACGAGTCTCAAACTGCTACAACGAGTCTCGAACTGCTACAACAGTTCCCGAACTGCTACAACGAGTCTCCAAACTGCTACAACGAGTCTCCAGAACTGCTACAACGGGTCTCGAACTGCTACGAGTCTCCGAACTCACTGCTCGAGTCTCCCAACTACCCATAGATAACATTGTAGCATCTGACTTGGGTTTGGTACAGTTTCGAACAAGACTGAAAAGTAACTTATGAACATGACTTTACCACATGCTTAAGATAATATAGTCTCAACAATGTCTTTCGAATAAGTTCATTAATTAAACATCTGATAAAGGAAATATTTTTTTTCTCCATCATTACGAAGTCAAATGAGAAACTGTATATTTACGGCATGAACACACTATTAAAACGATAACTAAGCACGCGAATTAGATAATAATATTTATATTTAAAAAAAAATTTTTCATAAGAGATGATTACATTACATTTTAAAACCCTTTTATACTTTGTGTTCTAGTTGAATTTTTGACGTAGATTAAAACACAGATTTATTTTAACATTTTCACATTTCAATTCTCATTCGACTAAGGAACACTGGTAACTGTAACTCTCGCCCTGATTGGTGATTGAATACCGTGATCAATGGTTTCCTGCTGGTCCTGTCCTAAACGAGATTATTTTCATATACGGCTTCGATTTGACCACCATAATGTGATAACAACACAAACGTTTTGATTGGTGAACAAAATGCCCAACAATTTCGTACATTTTAGTGGATTACATCATCTGTCAGCAAGTGTCAGTTTAGAGATAAGATAAAAATAATATGTGCCTAAAGTCGTATTCACAGAGGGAATTATCATAAACAGCCCTCGTAAATGTCGCACTTAACTGATTGAGGTAAAAAAAACACAAAAAATATCCAAAAATTAGTTCAACCAAATAACACATCAGACTTTATCTTAATTACACACGTTCAGGTAACAGCAGGTGAGATAATGGTGGAGGGTCTGTGAGTAAAATATTTACCACATCTTGTCTCCTCTTGGCACCTGACAGGCCAAGAGGGAGGAGGAGAATTAGTTGTTAATTTCACGCCCAGTTATAATGAGAGTCTTTCTTTTACCTTGGCGGAGCTCTGGGACAATCTAGTCTCTCAAGTATAGTGGTGTTGTGTTATGCATGGCTCTTTAGTATAGTTATATAGTACTTTAACTATAGCACTAAGTATGCATGGCTCTTTAGTACAGTTATATAGTACTTTAACTATATCATTAAGTGTTGTGTAATGGCTGTTAAATTATAGTCGTTCAGGTCAAAAACTCTTGTATTATCAACATTGAAGTTTTTTTTTTATCATGACTGAGGGTTGGCGACCACGACCCACCATTATACGTGTTTCCAGACTGTCTTTACCCATCCTCCCTGGCGTTTTCTCAGGACCACAACTGTTAATTCCTATCTATCCATCCTAGTCTCTATCCCTAGTTTTACCTGTTAATATATCCACCATTATCCCCGTCATCCCTTATTATATGGTATCTATCCCCGTCTATCCCGTCTCCTAGCCCCTCAACCTAGAAAAGTATAGTGTGTTATAGAAAGCCACAACTACAGTGACTATTCTTCAAGCGTTGTGTAACACTATGATATAAAAAAATATATACTCTCGGAAAAAATCAGTAAATCACTAGTTGTAAAAAATAAATAAAAAAAACTCATTAAAGAAATAATATTGAAGACAGTTATTACATTATCACAATTTACTTCGTTAAAATAAATATTCTGGTGAAGAAAAAAAAAATCGTGTTTGTTAAAAAATTGAGACGCAGTTGATGTTATTTTCATGAAAGGTCAGGTGTTCAGTTTGTTGAGTAAAGGTTGGATGAATATCTGTTTATATTGGAGGAAGATAAGAGTAGTGGGTGATGGCTTATGTCACCTGAGTGCTGGACTGAAGTGTTAAATAATCCTGCAATGACCTCTCTCTCTCTCTCTGGTGTATTATTATTATCGTCGTTACATCTCGTTAGTGTATGTCATTAAACCGTATACTCCTCCTCCTCCTCCTCCTCCTCTTACCTTCATATTCTTCCTCCTCCTTTTCTTCCTCGTCTTCCTCCTCCCTACCCCTCCCTCTTGCTCCCCTCAGTAACCCCTTACAGCCCTTCCCGTTACCACACTCCCACCCCTTGCCCGTTCTCTCTCTCAGTACCATAGTCTCCTGCTAGTGGAACTGGATAACTGTGTCCATATCCAGACTGGTGGGAGACTGTTCGGGCACGCGTTGAATAGTATTGACATCAGATTGTAATGGTGTGAGGATAATTACTGTAGGTACAGGTACAGTCCCCTTCACTAGTGCGTTTACAGGGGGTCGTCAGGTTTTGTCCAGTGTGGCAAACCTGTGTTTGTTTACATTCGACAAAGAAGCGGAAAATAGTACAAATATGTTGTAATCAAATTAAAACAATATTAAAACAAATAGCTCAGATAATAAATTGTGGAATGTTTATGTGACGAGCCCCTGTAAACGTACAAGTGAAGGGGACTGACTGTACATAGTTGTCAGGCATCTGAACTCCACCTTGAACAGGTAATACTTCGAGGTGATTCTCCGCCACAGTCCATTACAACTGTCAGGTGAATCACTCTTGAGAGCGAGTGTATTAATTTAGGGGATTTACTCTGATATATTATTATATTGTATTGTATTGTATTAAATAAGTTGTTGAGTTTGTTGTTTAAAGTATATACTGTAGGTAGGTCAAGGGACACACTATTACCTTTGTATTATTTATTAATTCATTATACAAAAAGAACTTAAACACCTCACTGAGCCTCCTCACCGGACGACTCATCCTCACTGTCCGAGAAAATACTTCTCGTCCTGCTCTTCACTGGACGACTTATCGTCCCCTCCTCACCGGGAGACTCATCGTCACTTTCCGAGAGACAAAGTGTCGTCCCCATCAACGTCAATGGAAGACTTTTCCTCTTCTCAACGGACGACGACTCATCGTCACTTTCCGAGAGACGACGTAGACGTTTCTGAGGGGGAAGATGGTCGTCCTCCTTCTTACTGGACGACTTGTCGTCAGTTTCCTGTGGACGTTGACGTTTCTGAGGGGGAAGATGGTCGTTCTCCTCCTCACTGGACGAATCGTCGTCCTCCTCCTCACTGGACGACTCATCGTCCTCCTCCTCACTGGACGAATCGTCGTCAGTTTCCTGTGGAATAGGTCGTTCCTGAGGGGGAAGATGGTCGTTCTCCTCCTCATTGCACGCCTCCTCTACAGTTTCCTGAGGAATAGGTCGTTCCTGAGGGGGAAGATGGTCGTTCTCCTCCTCATTGCACGCCTCCTCTACAGTTTCCTGTGGAATAGGTCGTTCCTGAGGGGGGAGATGGTCGTTCTCCCCCTCATTGCACGCCTCCTCTACAGTTTCCTGAGGAATAGGTCGTTCCTGAGGGGGAAGATGGTCGTTCTCCTCCTCATTGCATGCCTCCTCTACAGTTTCCTGTGGAATAGGTCGTTCCTGAGGGGGGAGATGGTCGTTCTCCCCCTCATTGCACGACTCCTCTACAGTTTCCTGTGGAATAGGTCGTTCCTGAGGGGGGAGATGGTCGTTCTCCCCCTCATTGCACGCCTCCTCTACAGTTTCCTGAGGAATAGGTCGTTCCTGAGGGGGAAGATGGTCGTTCTCCATTGCACTTTCTCTACAGTTTCCTGTGGAATAGGTCGTTCCTGAGGGGGAAGATGGTCGTTCTCCTCCTCATTGCACGCCTCCTCCTACAGTTTCCTGGGGAATGGAATGCGTTCCTGAGGGAAGATGGTCGTTCTCCTCCTCATTGCACGCCACCTCACAGTTTCCTGTGGAATAGGTCGTTCCTGAGGGAAGATGGTCGTTCTCCTCCTCATTGCACGCCTCCTCTACAGTTTCCTGTGGAATAGGTCGTTCCTGAGGGGGAAGATGGTCGTTCTCCTCCTCATTGCACGCCACCTCTACAGTTTCCTGTGGAATAGGTCGTTCCTGAGGGGGAAGATGGTCGTTCTCCTCCACATTGCACGCCACCTCTACAGTCTCCTGAGGAATAGGTCGTTTCTGAGGGTGAAGGCGAGCCTTCTTCGCCTCACTGTACGACTTGCCAGTTTCCTGTGCAATAGGTCGTTTCTGAGGGTGAAGGCGAGCCTTCTTCGCCTCACTGTACGACTTGTCAGTTTCCTGTGCAATAGGTCGTTTCTGAGGGTGAAGGCGAGCCTTCTTCGCCTCACTGTACGACTTGTCAGTTTCCTGTGCAATAGGTCGTTTCCGAGGGTGTAGACGACTGCTCTCTACATCCTCCCCACGACGACCATGTTCACTTTCATCATGGTAAGGTGTCTCACGAGGCACCTGGGGATAGTCTTGTGACTGATGATCAGAGACATATTGCTCTTCCTCATAACAAGGTTGATTATAACAACAATTTGGATCGTTATAATTATTCCGGTGTGTTCTACGGTTGGTATACAGAACGGAAACTTTCAGGGGTCGGTTGTACACCAGTCGTCCATTATTCTCGAGGGCCAACATTTGGTGCCGCTTACCACAGTACCGGATTTTGGCAATGCCACGGTGCCACGTTCCATCATTATTATATGGCATATAACAATCCTTCATGCCCCCATCTTCATTAAAAATGTATACAATATCCTCATATGAACACTGAAACGAGATGTTCTGAACGTACACCCCGAATGCATCATAATCGTGAAAATTACCGCCTGAGACGCTTGATCGGTGAGAGTAGGCCATCGTTATTATTGGGTTAAGTGATCACTCTGGCAAGGAGGGGTGAGTTTACCTCAGTGTAATTAATGTAGTAAGAGGTACTGCACTTGGTACTATAGTTCTGAATACGAGGTGTAATGAACATAATTATACAACTATTGTACTACGTGTGCTGTAGTGAACATTTAGTACTAGTGTTGTAGTGAACATTTAGTACTAGTGTTATTGTGGACATGTAGTACTAGTGTTATAGTGAACATGTAGTAGTAGTGTTATAGTGAACATTTAGTACTAGTGTTGTAGTGAACATTTAGTACTAGTGTTATAGTGAACATTTAGTACTAGTGTTATAGTGAACATGTAGTACTAGTGTTGTAGTGAACATTTAGTACTAGTGTTGTAGTGAACATTTAGTACTAGTGTTGTAGTGAACATATAGTACTAGTGTTATAGTGAACATTTAGTACTAGTGTTGTAGTGAACATTTAGTACTAGTGTTGTAGTGAACATTTAGTACTAGTGTTATAGTGAACATTTAGTACTAGTGTTGTAGTGAACATTTAGTACTAGTGTTATAGTGAACATTTAGTACTAGTGTTATAGTGAACATGTAGTACTAGTGTTATAGTGAACATGTAGTACTAGTGTTATAGTGAACATGTAGTACTAGTGTTGTAGTGAACATGTAGTACTAGTGTTATAGTGAACATGTAGTAATAGAGTTATAGTGAACATGTAGTACTAGTGTTATAATGAACATGTAGTACTAGTACAGAAAGTGGTCACAGTGTTATAGTGAACATGTAGTACATAGTGGGTGATTAATGGGCCCTTGGGAGGAGGAGGAGGAGGAGGAGGAGGAGGAGTGTTAGAAAGAGAAAACAAAGAAGGAAATAAGTGAGAGTAAAAGGAGAAACTAATGAGGAGAGAGAGAGAGAGAGAGAGAGAGAAGAGAAAGAGAGAGAGAGAGAGAGAGAGAGAGAGAGAGAATTATATAATAGGACCTTCTTCTTCCTCTCCTTTTCCCTCTCTTCCCTCTTTTCCCTCTCTCCTTTCCCTCTCTCCTTTCCCTCTCCTTTCCCTCTCTTCTCTCTCCTCTTCTTCCTCTCCTCCTCTTCCCTCTCCTTCCCCTCTCTTCCTCCATCTCCCTCAGGCCCGGTACTCCCAGTCATCTTCACAATACAACACAGAATAATTGATATTCCTCGTGTGTATGAGGGTGTATGATCAACGTTATGAGGGCGTATGATCAACGTGTATGAGGGTGTATGATCAACGTGTATGAGGGTGTATGATCAACGTGTATGAGGGTGTATGATCAACGTGTATGAGGGGTATGATCAACGAGTATGAGGGTGTATGGATCAACGTATGAGGGTGTATGATCAACGTGTATGAGGGTGTATGATCAACGTGTATGAGGGTGTATGATCAACGTGTATGGTGTATGATCAACGTGTATGAGGGTGTATGAGGGTGTATGAGGTGTATGATCAACGTGTATGAGGGTATGATCAACGTGTATGAAGGTGTATGATCAACGTGTATGAGGGTGTATGATCAACGTGATGAGGGTGTGTGATCAACGTGTATGAGGGTGTATGATCAACGTGTATGAGGGTGTATGATCAACGGTGAGGGTGTATGATCAACGTATGAGGTGTGTGATCAACGTGCAGAGGGTGTATGATCAACGTGTATGAGGGTGTATGATTAATGTATGAGGGTGCATGATCAACGTGTATGAGGGTGTATGATCAACGTAGGAGGGTGTATGATCAACGTGTATGAGGTGTATGATCAACGTGTGTGAGGGTGTGTGATCAACGTATGAGGGTTATGATCAACGGTATGAGGTATGATCAACGTGTATGAGGGTGTATGATCAACGTGTATGAGGGTGTGATCAACGTGTAATGAGGGTGTGTGATCAACGTGTGTGAGGGTGTGTGATCAACGTGTATGAGGGTGATGATCAACGTGTATGAGGGTGATGATCAACGTATGAGGTGTATGATCAACGTGTATGAGGGTGTATGATCAACGTGTATGAGGTGTAGATCAACGTGTGAGGGTGTAATGATCAACGTGTATGAGGGTGTATGATCAACGTGTAAGGAGGGTGTATGATCAACGTGTATGAGGGTGTATGATCAACGTGTATGAGGGTATGATCAACGTGTGCGAGGTGTGTGATCAACGTTATGAGGTGTGTGATCAACGTGTATGAGGGTGTGGATCAATGGCGAGGTGTAGATCAACGTGTATGAGGGTGTATGATCAACGTGTGAGGTGTATGATCAACGTGGCGAGGGTGTATGATCACGTGTATGAGGGTACGATCAACGTGTAGAGGGTGTATGATCAACGTGTATGAGGGTGTATGATCAACGTGATGAGGGTGTGATCAACGTATGAGGGGTATGATCAACGTGTATGAGGGTGTATGATCAACTGTGTATGAGGGTGTATGAGAGGGTGTATGAGGGTGTATGATCAACGTATGAGGGTGTATGATCAACGTGTATGAGGGTGTATGATCAACGTATGAGGGTGTATGATTAACGTGTATGAGGGTGTATGATCAACGTGTATGAGGGTATGATCAACGTGTATGAGGGTATGATCAACGTATGAGGGTGTATGAGGGTGTATGAGGTGTATGATCAACGTGTATGAGGGTGTATGATCAACGTGTGTGAGGGTGTATGATCAACGTGTATAAGGGTGTATGATCAACGTGTATGAGGGTGTATGATCAACGTGTATGAGGGTATGATCAACGTGTATGAGGTGGCGATCAACGTGTAAGGAGGGTGTATGATCAACGTGTATGAGGGTGTGTGATCAACGTGTATGAGGGTGTATGATCAACGTATGAGGGGTGTATGATCAACGTGTATGAGGGTGTATGATCAACGTATGAGGGTGTATGATCAACGTGTATGAGGGTGTGTGATCAACGTGTACGAGGGGTGTATGATCAACGTGTATGAGGGTGTATGATCAACGTGTATGAGGGTGTATGATCAACGTGTATGTGAGGGTGTAAGGATCAATGTGTATGAGGGTAGATCAACGTGTATGAGGGTGTATGATCAACGTGTATGAGGGTGTATGATCAACGTATGAGGGTGTATGATCAACGTATGAGGTGTATGAGTAATAGGAAGACAGTGAGAATAAATAAACATAAGACACAAAGAGAGAAAAAGAAGAGAGAGAGAGAGTACCCATAAGTTTTGTTCACTATTTCCAGATAAAACATCGACTTAATTTTCTTATTAAAAAAAAACAACAACAGCAAAACAGTAATGACTTTAACTAGTACCTAGCTAAACACACACACACACACACACACACACACACACACACACACACCACACACACACACACACACACACACACACACACACACACACACACACACACACACACACACACACACACACACACACACACACACACACAGCAGTAACTGGCACGACATTAAGTTCTTTATAATTACTAAACAGGTAACAACAGTGAGGTAAAAATAGCAACTTCCCTGTGTGTACTGACTACTCCTTGTGTACTGACTTACTTCCCTGTGTGTACTGACTTACTCCCTGTGTGTACTGACTTACTTCCTGTGTGTACTGACTTACTCCCCTGTGTGTACTGACTTACTTCCCTGTGTGTACTGACTTACTCCCTGTGTGTACTGACTTACTTCCCTGTGTACTGACCCTTCCCTGTGTGTACTGACTTACTTCCCTGTGTGTACTGACTTACTTCCCTGTGTGTGTACTGACTTACTCCTGTGTGTACTGACTTATTTCCCCTGTGTGTACTGACTTACTTCCTGTGTGTACTGACTTACTTCCCTGTGTGTACTGACTTACTTCCCTGTGTGTACTGACTTACTTCCTGTGTGTACTGACTTACTTCCTGTG